ACCCCCACCCCCATCCAGATTGCAGTACACTTTGAAGTGGTGACCTTAAGGCTCCTGAAATGTTTGGTGTTGGAGCCAGTCAGGAGAACAAGCTGGACTCACTCTAGACTCAAATCAAAATCTCTCCAAGCCTCTGTGATGATTCCATGCTGTCTTGTATTAACCCATTCATACCCCCCTAACCAAGACGCACGTGATATCGTTGTGTGTTGACTCATTGATGTCCGCCTGCCCAAGGCACATGTGTTGGCCCCAGTACTTCTGTGTTTGCTGTGTGTCCTGTGGATGGCCCGGGTAGACATTCTCAAGTGGCCGTTTGTGCAACTCCGTTTGTTTTGGGGGTTTTCAAGATTGAAGGTAGAAAAAGGGGGGGGGGGGGTTGTTTCAAAGTTGAGGTAAAGAGCTGAAAAGTTTCCGATTCCCAACCTCTGATGCTTCAACTATTCCACTCGGCCAATGCCTGTATTATGTCGCTGTGTGTTTCCGGTAGTGTAGTCCAGCAACAACGCAGTTGTGATTCCAGTTATTAACATCTTCACTGGCAGAACTCCTCTAAACCCTTATCAAATGGTTTTCATACAGTCTCAGGCGAGGCAGTGAAGGATCTAAATCATTAACAGGTTTCAGGGGGTATTTTTCGGCTTAAAAAAGGTTCAATCTCCCCCTTGTGGTAGCAGATCGCGAGATTCCCAACGAGTTTGACAGCAGCAATGACTGAGACTGTAGGTGACCAAGTACTGAGATAGGACTCCATCAAGGAAACTTGTGCACGTGGTGAATGTTGCTCCAGATTCTCTGCGTGTAAAGAGAAAATGTACACGATAGTTTTTTCAATGACTTTCTTTGCAAATGCCCAGCATTATCTGTTCAGCTCACATCCCCCCCCCCCCCGGCTTCTACTACACTTGGAAAAAAGAGAAATCCCCCAAAAAGTTTTTGCAACGACTTTTTTCCCATCTCAATTTGTTTTCCCTTTTCGAAATAGCTCGTCATTTTTGCTTTGTCTGTCACCATCTGAGCAGGCTTTTATTTCTGTCACCATCTGAGCAGGCTTTTATTTCTGTCCCCATCTGAGCAGGCTTTTATTTCTGTCACCATCTGAGCAGGCTTTTATTTCTGTCACCATCTGAGCAGGCTTTTATTTCTGTCACCATCTGAGCAGGCTTTTATTTCTGTCACCATCTGAGCA